CCACACACCCAAAACCACCCATACACGAAACAAGAAAGCAAACAAAAAAACCCCTAAAGAGAATGTGAAACAGTGAAAAATTAATGAAAACAGGGAGTGTAGGCTAATAATCCCATCAGGTAATGGCACACATGATTACAGAGAGGTGTAACAGGTTGATACTGTCACAATATACAAACCACTGCCTAGGGCTCTGAAGGCTCTTCTATGCGCAGCTTGAAGTTTTTCTCATCTGCAGCAATAGCTGTCATAATTGTTTGATTAATGAACTCATTAAATCCCAGTGTTACCAGAAAAAGCATATTGACCTCCTGACTGATCACAATTAAAATGTGAATGCCACTTATTCAAGACACTGGTTAGGCGTTTATTTAAACAGCAGAATAGCACAGAAAACGGCTTTGCATTTTCATGACTTGGCCCACCTCGCCAGCAAGGTTTGGATATTAAGAGAATGTCCCACCAATTGCAGGTGGAGGTCAACTTGCAACATTACCTACAATTACACCAGCATTTACCTGGTCATTAAGATTATAATCAGTTTGGAAATGTGATCCTCCACTGAACCAACAGCAAGACTCCCATTGCCTTCACTGGAGTTAAGCTTTCACCTTGGGTCATCACAAAACACAACAGTGAGGAAGTTAATTAAATTAGTGCATGTACCAAGCACAGCTCCTAGTCATACATCCCTGAATGGCATTGTGGAGGGAGTTTTACTCTCAGGAGAGCTGTGTTGTCTTCTTTTCAGTATTAATGTATGGACAGGTGGGCCTTTTCTGATTCTTTCACTGCTGTATCATGTTCCCGCAAAGTAAGATATTGAGATACAGTCTCACTTCTGTATTAAAAAAAAGCCACCCATTATTGCAAAGTACATTGTCGTATGATGACAGCATCATTCGCTATTGTGCTGCTGAAGCCAGAGCTATAAAGCTATTTCAGTGTCCTGAGTCATGATTTTTGAGTGCTGGTGACAACATGGAAGACTTCTCTGTTTGGAAACTTGAACGAAGACCTTTGACGTGTGTCACTAATGGTTATTCATCCAGTAGGCGTTGTAGCTCCCTGGATTAGATAAGCTGAGTGACAAGAACAGCGTTGTCTTCTGTAAGCCAGAATGGAAGTTGATGTATCTGAAGTGCTTTTAGCTGGCTGTATTCATCCTGGTTTCCTTGCTAGGCCAAAGTATTCATGTTCTGGGCTTTCAGCTAAGGTTACACAAAACTGACTGCAGTGTCTTTGAGCTGCTGGGTCAAAACATGTCAAGTTCTGAATCAGATTTGGTGTTTGAGATCTTTGCAGTCACTCCAGCACGGACTGCTTGCTGTTGTTAGGCTAAGCAAAGGCTTAATAACTGCTCGTGCTATTGTGTGGGCTACCGTAATTTTTCTGTCACTTGCCTCCAGTGCTGTAGAACGGAAAGAAATTGAGCATTATCTGTCCCCACTATGGCTAATAGAGGCTCTGGGGGTTTGTCCTCCCTTCACCTCCTGCCCGGAGTTCAACCTCTCGTGGGACTAAATGGCTTTCAGCCTCCAAAAGCTAGATGTGGCTCACTCCCTTCATGACTCTGCCTGCCTGAGCAACTGCTGCCTCTCTTCTGCTGTGACGCAAAGTGCTTACCGTAACCGCAGGGGACAGCAAAGCTGGGCAGATGCCCTCAGTTGCACTCGCTAGAGACTGGGCTCCCTGCATTGCACAGAATGCAGCTCAGACGGTAGGACATGATCAACATCCCCTGTACGCTGCGTGGGAGAGAGACAGTACAAAATGTAAAGATCAGCAGCCTCTTGAATTTTGTAGGAGTGTCTAATGCCAGCAAGACTGGCCCATAAAAATACTTCAAAAACCCCATATGAACAAACAATCATCTTAATGCTTAGAGCTGTCTGTTGGAGCATTGCTGGCTAGAGCAATGCTTAATCCCCCATTATATTCATTTCCTCAGTGCTCAAACTGTTTACTTTTTTGATAGGTTACTAGCAGGCTGAGCAGCATAAAGAGAAAAGGATTCGCTGTTGACTACTTTAGCCATTGCAAAAAGAAAGAAACAGTAGTGCTGTAGTAAATTTTCTTCCCAAGTAGTGGCGAGATGTTTAAAAAGTTTGCACTTAGAAACAAGACATGAGGTTGCTTCTGTAACCTCTCCAAGGCTGCCGGTCCCTCGGCTTCCTGGTAGCCCGTTTGTCCTTTCAGCTTAATAACAATCTGGGACTCATTGCCTGCTTCGCTTCTGTATTTGTCATGGTAACATGTGTCTTGATCTGGATCCCTGACTCTACCTTATGGACTTTTCCCCAGAAAAGCAGATTGGAACTGCTGTGTCCGACTCCCTGAAATTTACTGTCACCAAGGCAATGTAGGATAAAACAAAGCAACGGCCGTGTTTCCTTAGCTCCAGCAGGAGAAGTTAGAGGGAGCCAAAATTTTAGTATTTAATGCCCAAGAGAATATAGTAATTGAACAGGAAAAGTTTATCCTGCTGTCACTCTTGATCACATAGCTTTCTGAATGTTACGTTAACCCTGATAAGATCATTTATTTTTCCCTATCAAAGGCTGAAAGAATGTAAATGTCAAATTATTTATAGGAACTGGTGTTTTGGACACTTGTACTTTATTTCTCCAAACACAGCAAACTCTTAGTGTAAGGTTATTTCTTTACTGACTTAGGCTAATGGTTTAAATTCCTCCATAATAAATTATTTAAGATCCCAAAGCATACACTGAATGATTTTACACCTTACAGTGTTAATGCTACTTTCCATTTGAAAAGCCCCCACAGACCATGATGCAGTGGAAGCATCACACGTGGCATTTTTTGCCTGGGACAAATTTCACTCAAACATTATATGCAAGCACAGAACTTCACCCCCTGAATAAAAGAAAAGCTGACTTTTCAGTTCTTGTGTAACGCTGCAATTATTATGGCTGAGAACATCTGCTTTTATAAATGAATACTTAATATATTACTTTTTCTGTCCCATCTGTTTTCCTAGACCAGTGTTTGTTCTAGATTTTGGGAAGTCATCGGTCCTGTTTTAGGTTGGCCGCTTCCCGGGAGCACCCTGGATGAGAGCAGGTTCCCTCCGCACGCGGCTTGGTGCCGCAGCCACCCCTCTCCTTGCACAGTCATGGGGGCTGGGCACAGGCTGCAGCATGATGTTGCACCAGGTTTTGCACCACATCACGTAAAAGACAGGATGTGTGTTAACATCCTTTGAGAAAAAACGGTGGTGTCGTATATTTAGTTCTGTTTTGAAGCACACACGCTAGCAGCGTTGGCAGTCATGTCATTCTTATGAAATACACAGTAGTTTTCAGCCAAATATCATTCTTGTTGTAAACTATACAGCGCTACAAAGCAGTGCTCTGAGTAGGAGGAAAAATACAAGAGTAGCTTTTATGACCAGCTCTCATTTTTGCCACCTACAAAACAAGACTTAGATATCCAATACAGTGGTCCAGCTGTTTTAGCATTTCTAAAAGTTTCTATTCCCAGGCAGTGTATAAGGCGATAGGCTATTTTGTTTTTTGCTAGCACAAAAGCTAGCAGTTTCATAATAGCAAAGGCAGAAAGAAGCAGAGAGTTATCAGAGGAGGCTCCTTCAGGTTGATACAGAGAGGAGAAGCGTTTATCGAGCGAGACGAGGATCATTGCTCTTACGTTCCTCGAGCTCCATGGCAGAAAACTGCTCATTCCAGACTGCAGGCTCATTTCCAGACATAGAGCTCTTTGTGAAGGTGAGGTTTTTAAAGCAATCTAACAGCAGTATTTGTTTATGGACAACTTTTTGCTCTATTTGAGATTAATTTGATAGCATTGAGAAAGGTGAAAGAGCAAGCAGAGCTGGTTTCATTACTGCCTGGCATTTGGTCATATAAAGACCACCTGCAAGCATAATAAACTAACCCGTTAACTAAGTAAATGATACACTTGATTTTTTGCTTTTGTACCCTTAAAGCAAGTTTTAAAACTCCACACTTTAGGAGAATCATGAAAAAAGCCTGAAAAATCAGACCTCTCATCTGTTACACCACCACCGTGCAAAGCCTAACGCAGCCGGTAACAACTACACAAGGCTTCACCTCCTTCTAATGCAACCTCTAAGCAAAATGCAATACGGAGTAAATTAGAGCGACGCTTCGGCGGTGACACGTATGGCGAGTGCCAGCCTCTGTGCTGTACACTAGCAGGTGATGATTTGTTTAGCCAAAATGAAAGGTCATCCCGACTGGTGCACGCAGGAAGAGAAGTTACGTGACTTGGGTACAGTCACGCTTACGTATGAAAAGAGGGGGCTCTGGGTCTACAACTAGGAGATGGCCTGCGCCTCAGCCACAGGGCAGCCGTGTGCTCTTCTCCCCTCCTTTACATTTCCCTGAGCTATTAGACGTGGTTATGTGGCATTTGTGCTTCGTTAGTCCGCCGCTCAGCAAAGCGCCGGGACTTGCATGTTCAGCCGAAGCAAGGCCATTGTGCAACTTCCTTCCCTCTCCCTGGGCCCCCGCAGTTGTTCGGTTGAAAACACTTAATTATTTGATTTATTCTGTTTATTCCCTTAAGTGCTTCAGGCATTACTTCTCAATTTATGCTGGTAAATCTTTTTATACCTGTTTCCTGTGATCGTAAACTGATTTAAACTGTTTTAATCTTGCCATGATTTAGGTAGATTTATGTACACTTGGACAAATGAGGTGGAGACTTTTGTCCTCGGAAAGAATGCTGTGATTCCAATTTTGTTTTTTAAGTTATGAAAAGATTCATTACACATTTTTAAGGAAAAAATACATCTCCAGGATGACAGGATCATTCATCATATCCATGTGCATGCTGGGAGAAGGGTATAAAGAAAATTTGCATGCAAATACATATTAGTAGAGATGAGTAACGTGTATACATACTCACAGCAGATCTGGATTTTCTGCTTTTTTACTGTATCTGCTATCAGTATTTGCTATTATAGATGTACATATACTTTTTCTTTTTAATTGTAGGCTGGCAGTGATGGGGAAAGTATTGGAAATTGCCCATTTTCTCAGCGTCTTTTTATGATTCTGTGGCTAAAAGGTGTCATATTTAATGTCACAACCGTGGATTTGAAAAGGTGAGATTACAATAGGAGTTGTTATTTTTCAGAGCAACTTTACCAAAATGGTGATTTTAAAGGGGAGTCTCTTCTGACGGATTTGAAAAGCACAAGCAAATTAGCAGACATTATTTACACTGTGACTTGGTATTATGACAGCAGTTTGTATGCCTGACTCCTCTTTAAATTAAGTTCACTAATATAAAGTGGACTAACTGCTTTGAACCATTTGAGATTTTAATCTATATTGCAGTAGGTCTCTGTAACATAAGACTGCAGCTTTAGCTTTTCAGAGCACATTCAGGTATGGGCTAGCTAATTCTCGCAACACCAGCGTGAGACAGTTGGCTCTGTTTTACTTCATAGGTAAAATAGATAATAATCTGTTATTTTGAAGTTGAAACAGTTCGTTGCAATTAAGTATAGAAATTGAAAATGTAGTTCCTGTCGTGATTAACTCGGTTTCTTTCCTCCCACTAGAAAACCTGCAGACTTGCAGAACCTAGCCCCGGGAACAAACCCCCCCTTCATGACATTTGACGGCGAAGTGAAGACCGACGTCAATAAGATTGAGGAGTTCTTGGAAGAAAAATTAGCGCCGCCCCGGTACTGTATCCCCAACTACTTATTTTGCTTTCAGCCCCTGATGGCCTTCAACAGAGGTCAGTGACAGAGCGCCCTTTGGTTTCGGCAGGTCAGGCCCTTGATTAGCTTCATGTGTTATAATTTGCGTGCGAAGCTTAGGAGGGGCCGGCCCAGCCGCTGCAGTTGAAGTTGTTGGGAGCAGCGACTCCAAGGGCAGTGAAACACAGCCGTGGCCTGGTGCTGCTGCGTAAGGGCTGGCCCCGGGGTATGCCCCGGGACACTGGTTGCGCTCTTCCTGCTGCCTTCGCCTTTACCCCACGTTTATGTTATGCTACTAGTCACTCCCAAGGCATGAAATCCACCCTACTGCAGCAAGTATATGCAGAAACCTGCATACCATTGCAGAAACCTGACCTCTTTTCCTCCATCTGTGTGTGTTTGAGGTTACCCTCTTCACACTGTACAAATAATTATGCTCACTGGGAGCAAGTAGTTAAAAAAAAACACTAGTGAAAGCCACCTGTGTCCTAGGAGTACTGGGGGAAGGAGTGTCAAAGCTCATTTTGGGTGGCTAGGTGGGCTAACCTCAGTACACACTAGGGGCTGGGTTTGGGACTCGTCCTTCCCCACCCCAGCAGCTCTTCCCATTTCTCCCAAAAGTAGCTGTCCCACCACCAGCAGCATCTGATCCCCCACCCATGCGCCATTTCTCCCCCAGGACAGCAGCTGTCCTCCGTGACACTCCCACCTCAAGCAGCCAAACCTGACTTCAACCATGCTAGCAGCCATTTCCCTTCGCTTTTTCCCTCCTATTTGCCCCTGACAACAGCAGCTTCTGGCCTGGCCATGCTGAGCTTGCTCACGCATGAGTGCGAAAGACGAGGGGGTAGGGAGGAGCAGCACTCGGTGCTGGTGGGGACTTTCCCTCCTCACAGCAGGAGCCACCCTCTGTTCAGCCTTGCCCCGGGCCCACAGGAGGTGGCCTGGAAGAGGCGTTGGGTTGTCTGGGTGGCATCTATAGCATGAACTGCCATTTCCCATCTCCCTCAGGAAAAGGAGATGAGCCTATGGTTTAGGTACGGGCCAGAGGCGATCCTGGCCAAATGATCTTCATTTTAGGATGCTTCCCTCCGGAAGCCCTGTGTAATCATATGTCGTTTGCAAAGGGGTGATGCTGCAGTTTAAATGATGTATGTTAAATAACTAATGGAGATTAAAAAAAAGTGGCTAGTCACATAACTTTTTTTGTTTCTTTTAATTCCTCAGGTATCCCAAACTTGCACCAAACCACCCTGAGTCTAACTCTGCAGGAAATGATGTGTTTGCAAAATTCTCTGCGTTCATAAAGAACCCAAAAAAAGATGCTAATGAAAGTATGTGCTATAGTCCTTTTATTGACCCTGGTCGTTTCTGGAACAAATTAGACTGTACAGTTCTAGCATACTGTGCTGTAGATATCCCATTTGCTACTTAGGGTAAGCAGTCATTTCCCAGAGCATAAAAGCTTTGGAAATCTGGGCCCGTTGCCTCTCTTAGTCGGGGATTCCCGAAGTTAGTTTGCTCAGTACCACTATCAGCATGGGAACACCCACTCCAGCTCCTGCCAGGTTCTTCAGCTCCCAGGCCTATAGCATTGCACCTTCCCCACGCCTCTGCCTGCTCGAAGTAGGACCTTAGCTTCAGGTCTGCCACCTGCCATCCTTCTGTTGCCCTTCTCCTCTGTTTGTGTCAGTAATGAAGGCTCTAAACCCATGGCTCTACCTTCCCATGCCCTTCTCTGGAGTAGGATCCTCAGGATGCTGGATTAACTTCTCCGTCCTCCAGCTCGCAGTCCTGTTCCCCTTCCTGTTTCCTTCTCCCCTTGCCATAGTTGTGCACTGGCACCGCTAGCCTAGGCAAACCACAGCCAACCCTTGCCCAGCCCCTGCTGCCTCCACCCCACTCCTCGGTGCTGCGAGAAGAGCAGGGCACCCACAGGCGGGTTTCCCATGCACTCCAGCGCGGCACCTTGCCACCTTGCCGCTGTCGCCCCAAGCCTCGCCATTTCTGGTCCTGCTGCTGTGCCACTCTGCACGAACACCCCCCATATGTGTTTCAGGAGCTCTTTGTGGTTAAGCAGACCCAGTTTGGATTTCTCAGAACCAAACAGAGCTACTTATAGCTCTTATCCCAGTATTAGGTGTTAAGCTTAGGATAAAGGAATTGCAGGAGTTGGCATGGTGGGGTGTCTGGAAGCTGGACTGGTGCCAGGGAACAGAAGGCAGGAGTTGCTGGGTGTCAAGAGAGACCTCAGAACAGTCTTGAATGACCTTTTTATTGTCTTACCCTAGATTTGGAAAAATCTTTGCTTAAAGCCCTGAGGAAGCTGGACAACTACTTAAATAGCCCCTTGCCAGATGAAATTGATGCTTACAGCACCGAGGAGATCACTGTTTCCAGTCGGAAGTTCCTGGATGGAGATGAGCTCACCTTAGCAGATTGCAACCTCCTACCAAAGCTCCATATAATTAAGGTTTGCACTTGCATTTCAACATTTTGAAGAGGAGGGAAACACAAAAACCCAAGTTCACTTCTAGAAGGCAGAGGAATCCTGTATCTTTTCTGAAGCTGCAGAGCAGTTCTGTAATTGTGGGGACAATGAATGCTAACACACAAGGCCATTTTATTACAGCAAAGCTAGGCAGATCCTCAGATTGGTGACTCTACAGTTAGAATATCTGTTTTCATATTTGGGTCATGACTGCACAAGTATTCAGTGAGTGAGGTACTATATTCAGTGCCATAGAGAAATGTTTTCATTTGCATTTCACTTGCAGAGTGCCATGGAACAATAAGATTAAATGATTCTTGTCCATGCCAGTTCAAGAGGTCAGCAACTGGTGAAGTCTGAACCTCTCCCAACTTTAACCCAAAACTCCTGCTTTGTTGAACATCACCAGTAATACCAGTAACACTGGCAGGGGACCCAGCACCCAGCCAAGGCTCCGCTCCTAGCCCCTTTTTGCAGGGCTGTGGAGTATCCACACACCTCTAGCAGTGCTGGGGACCAAGGGTTTTGCTACAGCCTGTCCCTAGGCTGCTTTAGAGTCAACCAGGCGCTGGAAGAGAAAAGGCCACTTTGGAAATTTATCTGGTTTCTATACAAAAAAGGTCACTTCCGAAAGCTGTACTTTTGTCAGAAGAGGAGTGGATTGAATTGTTTCCTGACACCTTCATGAGTGAAAACTATCCCAGGAGACCTCATGGTTGAAACTAGTCCACAGGCAGCAGCAAGAGAACAAGCCCTTTCCCACTCCACGAGGCACCTTTCAGAGGTCAGGTGCGATGCACACAGCTAAGCATTACAGGTCGGGGCGGGTCAATAGGGCCCGTGCAAAGGGAATGTTCGCCTTATGTCAGGTGAACGTCTAAAGGATGGTGGAGAATGACTGTCAAGCCATCCTCAGTGATCTACAGGGAAGTGTTAGCTAATAGCCACTAGTTGTTTTCCCTAGCTATGTGAAATTTAGTATTTTAATTCCAATTTTTCCTTTCTGTTTCAGTGGAAGTTTCCAAGTGTGAGCCAGTTTATTACTGTAGGAGTATTCTGTTAATTCTGGTTTGTGCTAGTTCTCTTGCTGTTTTAAGCTCCATCTCCTCCAGCAGGTGTGGTCTGCTGGCATAAATCTAGCAGTATATTTACACTAAATAAATCCTTTTGAGCGGGTTAGCTAGTTAGTGAGTTTTCTTCATCCCATGTCTTCTCTTTCTTTTTTTGTCTTTTCTTCTCCTTTGCTCCCACCAAAAAGTATATTGTAAATGTGAAAGACTTACTTACAAATGGAGAATAAAAAATGTATATAAAAAGCAGATTTATTTTATGCAGATCATATGTGTAATAATCTTTTTATTTTTTCTTTTAATAAAAGGTTGTTGCAAAAAAATACAGAAATTTTGAATTTCCACCTGAAATGACAGGGATTTCAAGATACTTGAACAATGCATATGCAAGAGATGAATTTACAAACACTTGTCCTGCTGATCAAGAAATTGAGTATGCATATTTGGATGTTGCAAAGAGAATGAAGTAAATGGAAGATGCTTCTGTTTGTCATTCCTTCTGAGATTTAGATGGGCACCAGCCAACATGGAAAAAAACAAAACAAAAAACCTGTACACTCTGCAGTGTAAGTTCTGTCATTGGCCAATCCTTCTTTTACAGTAATTGTACAGCATTATTTGCTAATTCTTAAATTATACATGTATATGTTTGTGTGTCTGGGCAGATGTATACACACACAAATGTGTGTACTGCATTCCAAATTAAAGACAGATCAATGTTAAAGCATTTGTTGAAGTTAGGGGAACAGTGTAGGTCACACAATCAGAGAAAAATTACAGACTAGTGACTTATGCTAAATTACTGAATTTTGGGAAGAAATAGCCCTGTTTCTCACACATATTTAACCTGTCGTTATTGCTGCCTCGGATCTGTTTCATATTTGTTGCCAAACTTCACAGTTACCAGGAGGGTTTCTGTTTGCTTCTCCGTAAGTATCAGAGGGCTGCAAGCCAATTCTTGGCATGCCCGCAGCAACCCTGGTTTATCCAGGAGAAAGGCCATCTGGTAGGTTGGACCACACCTGCCTTCCCAGAAGCCCTCTCCTCTCTGCTAGAGACCTGTAGAGCAGGTTGATGAAGAACAACTCCTTTGCACATTGTATGAGTCCTTCTTCGGTATTTATCCTGCCTTCTCCTTTCTCAGGGCTGCACAACCCACCCAGCCTCCTCCAGTCCTGGTGATCCCCATCAAAGAGGGGAGCACAGACTATCCCTAGCCTGTAGACTATCTAATAATAAATATTTGATAAGGGAGGAGCGAGAGGCTTGGTTGTCACTGTGGAGACAAGGAATGGGAGAATATCTCTTCTCAGCTACTGAGGGAGGATCCTTCTTTCCTGGCCTTCCATGACTCCCATTGATTTTAGAAAGCAAAGAGGAGGAGAAGGGCTAAGACAGAAATAGTCCTTTTCCACTCTCTCCTGATGGTTGAGCTCCAGTGTACTGGATTTCCCGAGGCAGTTGTTAGGCCTTCATTGATAAGAGCTTTACAGCTGATCAAAGAGCTGTCTACCAGGGACAAGACAGACACTGCTCCAGCTGTAGGTGGGGGATGCATTAGATGAGCCCCTCCAGCCTTGCAGGAGTCTGGTTTCAAGGCAGTCAGTACTAGTGAGAAACACCCTCTAGCCTGGCGTCTGGGAACACAGTGTTAGAGATGTTTGGCCTGTGAGAAGGTACATTCCCAGCTGCTTTCTGCTGAGCAGGCTCTCAGCAGGCAAGTAGGAGTAGAGGGTGCAATGCTGTAGTCATAGGGTCATCTGGAAATTTCCTTTGGATGTATTTTGCCTGTGTGTACAAAATAGATGTGAAAATGGCTAAAATAAATAGCCTATGTTAATGTCTATGTCCACAAAAAGACTGTTACAGAATAGTCATTCATCTTTGCCCTTATCAAACATATACCTGCTTTCTTACAAAGCATTACTTATGGTAACAGTAGGTGTCAGGTATATTGTGTCTGCGATATTTTGCTCCTACACACTATATCTATGCACACATCATCCTATACACTACAACTGTGAGTTCTGTTGCAAATATCCTATCACAATTGTTTGTAAACAGCATTAGATATGGAGTTTTAATTTGTCTTCTTTAGAGAACAGACACAATATCTTTCCCCTCCCTCCCTCAGTTCTGAGTTTATATATTGGGGATGATAGCTGAGCAGTCACTCATCAAATATTACTAACTGCTACTTTGTATTTTCAAATACATATATATATAAATAAAATATATAAGATATAAAATAAATGTACTCTTTTCATATGCCTTACAAATTTAAATAGAAAATACAGAAATTCATAAGTAATTCGACCAGTGTCCTGTCTTTCTTTCCTTAGTAATTTCCTAGCAAGATGTACTGTTAAGAGTGGCCTGAATTTTAAGAAATAAGAGGCAAAGTTTAACCAAACTTTGATCCATCTTTGAGGAATCACCTATGTCACAGACCTCCACTCAGAGCTGGGGAACAACATATACATGCCAGCTGTGTCTGTTACTGCTAAATTAAAAAAGATGGGGCCAGGACATAATCCCTAGCCTCAAAGCCACCTGGCACAAACTGTCCCACATCCATGCTGGTTAGGGCTGGCCCCTTTTGTAACAGTTTTGCCTTGTAGAAGACCACCTGAGTTGACTTGAAGTAGAGAGATTGACCACACTGCTCAAGCAGAAGTCCAAGTGCACAAGCTCACTCCCCGACCTGCTCCTTTTCTCAGTATGAATTTAGTTATGGCTGCTTATAACCAGTAAATAAAGCAGATCCTGGCCTACTCTCTGGCCCTAAGAGTGTGTGGTAATGTATGGTTCACATCTGCGCAGCCAAACTCTACCTCCTGCAAAGAAGGCACCCATGCTGGTAGCGGGGAACAGCACTGATCTCCAAATCAGGCCTGCACATTGATGAGGGTGATGCTATTTAGCACAATATTAGTAACAGAAATACTAAGATTGGAAAGAATGAATGGAAATGTGTGTGTGAAACCACTAGAGGAAACTAAGCAACCTGGCTTGAAAAACTGGACTGGAGGTTGACGGCTGCAGGGCGTTGTAGCAGTGACTTCACCCAAAGGACCAGATAGCAGGAAGACGAAGAACAGGCTGAAGCCCAAAGTAAAGGTAAAGAGATGAAGAAGAACTGCATGGGAACCGTAAAATACACAATCACAGAATCACAGAATCACAGAATGGTTGAGGTTGGAAGGAGCCTCTGGAGATCATCTAGTCCAACCTCCCTGCTCAAGCAGGGTCCTCTAGAGCGTATTTCCCAGGATCGCGTCCAGGCGGGTTTTGAATATCTGCAGCGAAGGAGACTCCACGACCTCTCTGGGCAACCTGTTCCAGTGCTCTGTCACCCTCACAGTAAAAAAGTTTTTACCCTGATAAAGAAACCAAAAGGGCAATGAGCCTCAGGAATTTTTTTATTTGCCTTTGAGTAATGAAGGGCGAGACAAGATCCTGAGCCATAAGCTCCCAAACAGATCCCTAAAGGGTATAAAAGGCACATCCAAAAATCTGTTTGTTGTCACCAATGAAGAGCAGTGAGCAGAAGCAGCCAGGCAGCCCCTTGCCTGCCACCTCCCACAGAGCCACCCTGCCCAGCCTTCCCCGGGCTCATATCTCAGTGCGAGTGAAATGATGGGAAACCAAATGTGAGTAAGTTGCATTTAAAATAAATATCACCCTCCTCTTCCATAAGGCCTCTTCCCTTGGACGGATGGCCACATATGACCTGGCCTTACCTGCTCTCCCCACAGTTGAGCCTGGGGCCAACGGCGGCTCTGGACTGGGTGTGCCAGGGCTCAGCGGCAGCCCATCACCGTTAGTGCCCATTGACTGGAAAGCGCTAGTAATGCCCTTGCACGAAATGCCATAGGGCTGTGCAAGATGGCCGTGTTTATGCTTTATATACACCAGGACAATTCTTCTTGCTTTAAGATCTTTCATTTAGCCTCCTTTCCCCTGTCTTATTTTTCTAAGGCATCATCAGACTCACACGCCTGCATTTTCAGTCCTATCAGGCTGAGGGAAAAACCCTCAGATACCCAGGGAGCAGAGGGCTTCTTTTCTTAAAATCTGACATCGCTATTTGATTAAATGCTTGTGGCCACAGATAGCTTTGAAATCTGATGTTTTGTGGTTTCCCTACTCCTCTTGCTCATCCAAAAGAAGAGGTTCATGGCTCCAGCCTTCTACAACGACTTGCATGGCACCTACAACACTACCACAAACAATACATTACAGTCGGTGTTTGCATATTTCAAGCAACACAGTGAAAAAGATATGGGCAGAGATATTAAAAAAAAGAGAAAAGAAAAGCAGAGAGTTGCATACAGACTCCAACTTTGATGTGAAACTTACTGACATTCTCAATAAAAAAGGAAAGACCTGTATCACTGACTGCCAGTCAGGAAAACAACACTTTCACGTGTGCACATAACCAAAACCATTCATCTACAGGTAGAAGTTCTTAATAATTTTCTGCTCTTTCTGATGAGTGTATTCTTATGTATTAGTCAAATATGAAATAGTTATCAAATAAAGTGTGAGCTTCTAACAGACTTTAATTGCAGAATGGGTTGATTTGCAGCTGAAAGGAAAAAGGATTTTCTGCACCTCACTGGGATAGTCCCAAATGGAAAGTGGAGACTGAAGCAGAAATGGTTATTTACTTATTTAAAAGCAAATGGCAAAAGACCCTTAGAATAAAGAATTCCTTCCTAGAGATCGCAGAAACATTTCCTCCACCTACACTACCCACTTTTTAACCTCAGGCTTTATCTTCTTTGGTGAAACACCTCCTCTTAACGTCTCTCTTCCCAATTGCCTCCCAGTGAGAGCTACCACCTGCTCTAACCCTTCCATAACCAGCCTCTATTCCCAGCGGAGCAAGTTCTTACCCCTCATCTTACCTCATTCAACCCAGCTGATATTTTTCCAAGTGGTTCTTCAAGCCACATTCACCTCTTTAGAAAAGGGCAGTGTAAGTGTTTTGGAACCTGCTCAAATGAAACTAGCAGAAGGACCAACAGGTTTTTCTCCCACCTCTTCAGGAGCAAAATATGATGGAAAATAGTTCTGGTGGCAAGTCTGCAATTCTGCCTGAATGCAAGCCATTGGCCAGATATGCTAAGAGAGTTAACTGTGCAGGGGAAAAACATCTGGACTTGTACGCTGACACCTGTGATGGAGTGAGAGAGGGCTGTTCTTGAGGTCTTCATCATCATACCATTAAAAAAAAAACAGCCCCCACCCAATTTTGTTTCTGCTGTTGGTCTCGCTCATGCTGAGACTGGTCTGATAAAAGCCCTCAAGAGGGGCAAACCAGCAGAGCCATTGATTCGCTCTCAGCGCAGACCCTGGTTCCTGCTGCAATCTGCCATGGGTGCTGGCAGGTCCCAGCAGGCTAGTCACCATGCAGCGGCGCAAGGACCAGCTCCCTGACACTGACCCTGTGAGGGCTCCACCCTTCAATGCACAGCCTGCACATCACCTCCTCCATGCAGCTGGATCTGAACTGAATCAGCCCCCAAAGCGTGGATCAGGCAGGCAGAGCCTGGAGGTTTAAATGTGCCTGTGTGAAAACTTTGATGTTAGGAGGAGTTTGTTTGTTTGTTTGTTTTCACTCCTTGCTTTTGCATATGGTTGGTGCCTGTTCTCACTGCCCAGGCTCACATGAGTAGGCCTGCTGATGTTCTCAAACAGGGGGAGAGACTGCCATGGGACTATTCACATAGCAGCAGGGCTGGAGGAAGAAGCGGGGAACTGAGCTGCTGCCCCATCCTCCTAATATGCTCTGCTGGGAGAAATAACTGTGCAGGTACTTTACAGAACAGCTCTTCCTAGCCCCAAATATTTTGTTATGTTTAATGGAAGGCACAAAACACAAAGTGGTGTGTATTTATGAATGTGTGGAGGAGGGAGATTTTGTTCCTTTCTCCGGCTGGGCCATACCTGACCACATACCTGATTCCAGCCACGGCAGATGTAGCTGTATGGACTTTCAGAACCTAAAGAGGGACATGTGTGAAAAAGAAGCATGATTCCAAACTTGTCGAGCCTGAAAGCATTGGCTTGCCTGCCACCCTACCTGGGGCTGCCTTCACTTGCTCCCTGAATCCCTGTGTGACTGCAAGGGCCGTGGCACGACACAAGTTCCCAGAGCTGCTCCACTGCGGACAGTTTTGGCATTCCCCTGCTCTCTCTGCCCCTCGACCCCTGGCCAGGACAGAAAGCAAGGCAGCCCCAAGTTCCCCAGGCAAGAACATGCTGAATAAGTGCAACTAGTCCTTAGACAAAAGGCAGTTGTGACTGCTTTATTTTAAATTGCACATGGGGATGATTTAGACCCTCATCTCCCTCCACCACACATCCCTGCAGTTAAAGTGCTTGCCCACCCTGCAAAAGAGGGTGTCAGGGGAGACAAGTCCTACCTCATCCCTCTGTCAGATAGCACACTGCAAGCACCAGCTTGTTGGCCACCTTGGGTAGGGGTTCTCCCAATCTCTCCTCTGGGAGCTAAAAGCGTTCAGGAGGGAGGCTTTGGTGCACCAAGTGCTTTGAAGCTCTGCAGACTGAAGAACTGACGGAGCACGGGTCAGAGGGATTAAATGACTTCTGGCTGTGACACTGGGTTTTATAAAAGTAATACTTAGGAGATTGCAGCCACCTCAGAGGATGATAAACATTGATTTGCTATGTCTTTCCAAATCTTCTGCAAGAGCAGAGGGACCCTGTATTTCCTCATGATGGCTATGCTTGCATTGACAGTTCACCCTTCTCTCAGAGTTCCCGAAGTACGCTGAAACAGCAGGTATCTACAGGTAGACCTACCCTAGTGTGTGTAAAATCTGAATATAGTGTATCATCTCTAGTCATCTGAAAGCTAAACATGTGCAAGTCATGCTTTGGAAGCCAAACTTACATTGAAAAAATACAAAACAGCCCCCCTGCTCTCCAGGCTTTGCCCATCATTATAAATGGTTTCAGTTCCCATCTTGATTGGCACAGCTCTGCCAATTCTTCCTGGCCTGCTTATTTCTTTAAAGGTGATGGCATTAGAGCCAGAGCCAGCAGCCCCTTGCTTGGATGCAGGAAAGGAAGAGCTATCTAGAAACACTCATCTCACCACCATCACTAACTTCAGACTTGTGGGATAACAGCAGAAGCAGGGCAGAAATGGAGGTGGCTTTTATTCAAACATGTTGATGTCCCCAGTTGTGCCAAGGCTTATAGCTGATAGGGGGAAGGCATATTAAAGCACTTTACCTTGCTGCTGTGAGAAGTGACCCAGCAGATCAGAAAACTGCAGTGGCTTCATTTGTTCTGGAGTTGGGGGGTAGGGAGAGCTAAACTGCCTACAAAATCCCATGGTAAGTGAATCCATATCTACAACATGTTTTGAGTTGGCAAAAATCCCTTTGCTAACATTGGAATTATTCTATTTTTAAAAGACCATTGAAAGATTTTTCAACAATTTACTGGAAAATAGATTAGGTGAGATGAAGGGAGAGATTGTGTTTCATTTTTAATAGCAAGTTTGTGGAAACTGAGCTACTGATTTCCAAATGCTTATTAGCACAAGTAGTCTTCCATGTAGTGTTGCTTGTAAAAAATTGTTTTTATTATATTATCATTTTAAATACAAATTTTTATGTTTCCCTTTTAAATACCTATTATACGCAAGGCAAATATGGTCAGATAGTTACTCTATTAATTGTTCTTCAATCACTTGTGTAGAAAAGTCTTCAAGGTTTGAAGATTTCTTTGTCAGCTTCAAATATCTTGGGGATCAAAATGGCCAGTCGACTTGAAGGTTAAACACTACTTGCGCTCAATGCAGTATTTCCAAAAACAAGCTGAAATTAAATCAAATGCAGAGTAACTAACTGTAACATATTTCCCCCCATGCATTCTTTTTGGAAATGTCTTCCAAGCAATGAAAAAACAATCCTCTTGAAAGCAAATTAGTATCCATCATCCACATCCATCCATATCAGCAAGTTACTTGTGTGAGCATAAGCAAGTATCTGAATCTCAATAGCTCTTTACAACTTGCTGAAGTTTAGTTTAAAAGCCACATCTGCTGATTATTTATAAGCTGTCAAGAACCAATAATCAACTGCTGAGGTGAGGCATCACCCTGAAAGTTCACCTCAGCAAAGACTATCCACTACATGATAGAGCCTTGACTAGGTTAGCAAACTTTCCCCAAAACCAGCCACCTGCTGGTTACGTGCTGATGCCACGTAATCACTATCATCCCCACCGAGCTGTCCATGGACCCTTAAAAGCTACTGAAAGACTTAGGGTGGTTCTGTGGACCCTTAACCATGACTTCATTGACCACCTGTGAGAACTGCTACCCTGAGCACTGAGTTTCAGCGTTTTTGGTTAAATCACACTGATGAACTAAAACAAAAATAAATGTTCCTTTTCAGAAAGTGAGGGGTTTTGTTTTCCTTGGATTTCTTCCTTCTATCATTCCCTTCCATTTTACTTTTTCTCAGTGATGAAAGGGGAAAAATGAGAGAGAACTGCTGGAAAGGAAAAGAGAAAAGGAAGCCCAACAGAATATCAAACCTTGGTTTTCAATTCATGATTCAAAAGGAATTTTTTACGTCTCCAGACCTACACCAAACCTATGTTTTCTTCTGTCAATAAAAATTTGAAAAGCTGTTTTCAAACTAAAGAAAAACAAGAAGTTGGACAAAACATTAGTATCAGCACCAAGCTTCTAAAAATCTCACTCCTCTCAAATGACCTGCAGTGAAGAGAAGGGGTCTTTAAAGCTGAAAAACCTACTGCTGCTTTGCCCACAGGAATAACCACAGGTCAGATCTTCCAGCTTGCTCCATCATAGGACATGGAAAGAGTTGTGAATTGCTCTATGGAATGAAGCCATACTCAATGGCTTGGACCATGGAAGCTGGACCTTCCGCAGGTGGCAAGGAGGATGCTGCATGTTACATCCCCTGACACCAGGCACAGGCTATGTGTGCTTCACACAGAGCTGTACTGTAGCAGGCAGAGTGCTAACAAGCTCATTGGTGGCTAGAGATGTCTGAACTGATAGGCTGCAAGATGATAAGGATGTGTCTGTACAGGAACAGTACTGGGCATAATACATTGTGCTGAGAATGAAAAGTGCTAGTTGCATCAGTACTGTTTCTCTTAAGGGTGCTGCTAGGCTGGAATCTCTTCTGACAGAGCTTACATCACAGTGAATGCAATGTAAGCTAAACTAGAGGCCTCTTCCCCTCCTCTCTCCCTCCCCCACCTCATGTTGGATAAAACATGTGCCCTAGGAAATGTGGTAGCAAAGGTGCACCCAGATAACTGCATTAATGAACTGATAAAACAGTCTCTGCTGAAATACAGCCAGCTGGGTCACACCTGCAGCTCAGGCTGTAGCTGTGCCCATGGCAGAGGTGAGAGCAGCCGCAGCTGCTAACCTCCTGCATCCTATTGATGACATTTAATCGGTTCTGCAGGGCTGTGTGACAGCTTTCTAACCTGGTTCAGCTGTTCAAACTTTGCAAGTTGCCCTATTTTTCTTTACCAAGATGATGGTCTGTTTAGGTGAGTGTACCCTGCTTTTCACTTGAGCTGAGATATCCACAGCAGTCTGCTCATATCAGGTAGACACATCCCTGATCCCACAGCAAGGTGGTTCTCACTGAATTAAGTGTTGTTTCTAGACATATGTGGGGAAGCCCTGGAATGCTATAGTCTATGTCCTCCTTTTCCAAAGGAGCAGGTTTTTAGGCCTTGGCGTAAGCAGCATAGACGCTCTACCTAAGGCCTGCAGAGGAACTGCTTACTCAGGTCTTGTCCCAGTTGGGGCTGAGTGCACACCTTGAGCTAGAAGCGTTCCCAGGTCCCACAGAAGCAGAGCTAGTGAAGGCAGAAATTCAGCTAACCCTGCAGTGTGATAAGCAGGTGAGGTGAATGGCTCCTGTTGTGCTTCAGCTCTATTCTAATAAGAGGGGTAGAATTGTCCTCTACCTGAGGACAGCTTCAGGTAGGACTAAGGGGTACTTAGTGTATGCAAAGAGGGACCAAAGTGTAAGAAGTTCCAAAAACTGATTCTGATTGCTTGAATTTATACAGTTGTTTCTTGCTTGTGGTTTGGTTTTTTAAATCTTCCAGCACATTAAATGCGTGGTATGCAATGTTGAAGTGCTGTTGAAGGGAAGTACATCCATTACTATTGATGTTTTTCAGCTTCAAAAATCATAAGTCAGACCACTGGAAAAATGACTTAAAAAGTGTGGCAGACCGAAAATGGTAAGTGTTCCCTCTTCTGTTCTGCCTGCTGGTGTTTGAGGCTTTACAAGTTCCAGCTTTTCTGTGCAAGCAGAAGGCTAATAATTTCAAAGCATAAAAACCAAAAATGTTAGTTGCAATTCTCCCTTCAAGAGTCAGGGCTATGAGCTGTTAGTGAGGTAAAAAATTAATTGATTTTATGTATCTACTGGGAATATAAACCCAAAGTTCATGAACTAGAAAGGTTAAGGAGAAGAGAGAAGCAGCAAAAGAGAAGACGAAAGAGTAAAAAAGAAAAAAGGCAGTCAGCAGAGACAAGGGAAAGTAGATGTTCTTTCTGAGTAATAGGCAGCATTTGAACTGCATATACCTTGTATAAACAATGTTATATATATTCACAATACACAGTGCCTTGAAGGATCTGTGCTTCTTGTTCTCTCAGTCAGAATGCAAACTGTCTCTGTCTGTCTGTCTGTCTCTTTCTAAAGAATATGCCTGTAAGGGTTCAGCAACCACACTTTACTTTGAAATGACATGACTAAAATAGGAGTGGGGGAAGTTGTAAATGGAACACCTTTCTCCCCTTCTGAATTTAAGAATTTGCACAAAATTAATGGTGGATCAGTCAAAATCATTCATCTGGATCTAAAACAACATCTCGTTTGTGAAGCTGACATTTTTAAGAGGTTTGAAAGCCAATTCAAAATGAAATATCTTTTAAAAATAATACCAAAAGATTTCATGCCAAAAACGTTGAAACGCTTAATTTCCAGCCAGCATCCTATCTAACCCCCATTGCTATAGCGTCTGAGTGACCCAGAAATATTCACTTCCATAACACCCCTGTCATGTAAGGACAGCTGTTATTCTCATTTCATGCTCATAGAAGGCATAAAGAAAATGTTTCTGGTTCAGAGACATGAGGCAGACTGTTGTGAAATCAGGTCTCAGACTCCAAGCTCTTGCCCCAGTCACAGCAGAGCTTTCCTTAGAGAGAATTTGTAATAAATGTATAGCTGATTCAGGGGGAGCTGCACAGCTGTTCTCTTTGGTAATATAAAGCCAGATCTGACTCAATTTGATAGTGACTAAAATGTCTATTATTTGATGACTGTTCAGTGGTTTTCAGGCCCGAGATAATCCAACGTGCTGTGGACCTTATCAATACTTGGCATGGTTAGCCTGAATCCAGAATCTGGATGGCCCTAGAGACTGACCTGATGTTTCACCTGTGGACAAACATTAGGGTAAGTGGTTCAGGGAGAAAGCTACGGTTTACACTAGAGACGTTGTTACTTAGGGATTTCAGGGATTTCCAGCACCTTCTGCAAGACTTGCTATGGTACAAAAGTAATCCAGTAACAAGCTAGGCAAGGTACAGCATCACTCTAAGTCCCACCTCTCTTCATTTTCCAGGAGGTTGGCAGTGCAGGCTTCCAGAAGCTTTTCCCACGTAAAGGATTTATTTCCAACAGGTCCTTGCTCAGTTCAGTTGGATGATCAGATGGACCTTCAGTTACACCTTCCTGTCCAAAACAATACATACGTGGGACAAAGTCAGTGAGGCAGCCTCAAGAAACTGAGAACATCAGAGCTCCAGGAAATAAAAAAAACACTGTTGCTTACTTTGCTGAACAGTAACAAGGAGAGTTTACCGGTATTAGACAAAAACTAAAGTAGCAAATTAGAGAAAACACACAGCTGCTTGTTCTCACCATTTCATCTTTCTTTCCACGTGTCTTGGCATAAGCTGAAATGCAAAAAGGAACCACAGTTAGAAGCTGTTCTTCTGGAAGATGGTGATTTTGCTTCTGCACGCTTCAGCATGACCCATCATTTGTCAAGATGCTTCCATGAGCAAAATTAGCAGAGCTGGCTCTCCCCACAGCTAGCTTTTCTGTAAATGTAGTGCTGCCGTATGTCCCTTTAAGGTCCTTTTCACCCCCAGCATCACTTACTTCTCTGATTAGGGCATAAACTACTGAGTTTTGGAGACTTCCTGGACAGGATAGGAAGCCTCTTGGCGATGCAACAAACATTTTACTACTTGTATAACAGATAAGACTGAGACAGATTCATTTTTGGTTATCTAATACCTTGGCAACTGGACACTTGTTAGAGATTCAGGTCACGTCTGTGACCCAAACAGGAGAAGGATTTGACCCTGAATGCTCTCTTCTTGACAAGTGGTCAAACCACTAGCTACTGGCTATACACAAGCAGTAACAGTCCCCTTGTTCTTTAACCAACAGGAGCACCAGGTCTGTAAGTGCCTAGCCTCATATAGGGTGTTATGGCTTGGGGTCAGGGCTCTGCTTGGCCTTAAACACACTTATTTTCAGCGTTAGGTATGTGCTCTGTATTTTGCCTATTGCTAATAGGCATCCCTGCTGGGATGGTTTCAAAGCTTTTTTTTTTTTTTTCTTTTAGCCAATATACAGCATCTGAGTCCTAACTCAGGAGCAGTAAGCAATACAGTAGTCAAGAGAAAGGTGCTGCAGTGTGTACATACATTTGAGGGCCTCAGTCAGAGCCTCTGCTTGGGGATAGTGGACCGGAGAAAAGCAATAGCAGGTGTGCATGGGGAGAAATTCATCCCCACTCCTGCTCCGCACACAGAAGCATGGCCACCCGAATCTCAGTCAGATTGTGTAGTGTATGAACATTGCCTTGCCACTGTCAGTCAGAACCAGTGAGATGCACAGCAGACTGAAAAGAACTGAAGAAAATCAAATCAGATGCACAGGAACAAACCTGTGTTTAGAACCCTAACCTGCTACTTAAGAGATGTCAGAACCATCTAGGTGCAATATCATGCACAAAGGACAATGCTGTCAAAATTATCTCTGCTAGGGTAAACATCCAGCAAAGCCAGTATAAGCAATCTCAGAATATAGCTACTTGTGACTGGCTGGGTAGAGAGAGCTTAGACTTGGTAACCTCAGTGGTCCATATACCTATGTTCTTAGGAGAGGATGAGGAGGTATGAGATGCAAAGCCTGCTTGATACATTTGAGATTTCAAACTCCAAAGACACTGAGACAGAAGAATTAGCTTTAGTGCCGTGTAGCCCCTGCCGAGTAGCTTTTACATAACGGTTTCAGCTGGTGCTCCCTGTTTTGGTATGCTCCAAGCTTTACAGAAATTGCACAATTTGAATTAAGGTGCCTTGTTTCTACCCCAAAGTAATTTTAATGAGAACATTTTAGCCAAATCCTGCAGGAGTCCTTGAGGCGATTAAATGCTGCTTTTCCAGTTTAGAAAATGGTTATAACTTTTCCCTTTCCCTGCAGATAATTCAAAGGGGACTAGAGCTGGAAACAGGAAGAAAAGGATATAATGGTATATAACCCACTTTTCAAATTCAGTAAAGAGTGGAGCATAGCCACTTTTTAGTTACCTATACACTTAGGTGTAAACAGTCTGCACAGTGAGTACATGATGGTCTGATTTCACACACAATATTGGCTACAGTGCAGCTTTTGAAAAAATGTTGATGCCCCCAGCAGAAAACTGCCCACTATTATGCTCCAAAGTAAATACTAAATCTGAGGGCAATTTAATGAAAGTAGCACCTGGGCAGTTAACTGTACTCACAAAACCTCACCTATTTTTTTCACTTACGCAAAAGCTGCCTTTCATGATATACATAGATGACTTGAGTCTCCAGGAAGGTAGTGCTATGTCCTGAAGGGTCTTTGAAATTGTCCAGGTACAGAAATACCTATAAGACAATCTGAGTCCCACAGACATAAACCTAGATCAATTCAGCCAGAACTGTCCAGTCACCATAAACACGCTTGTCAAAAATCGCTGCTGGGCTATGTGGCAGCTCTGGCAGTGACAAGGATCATCACAGTCTAATTCAGCTGACCACAAAGTGGACAGGCTTTTTAGATACCTACAGATAAGGCATAAAAATCAGACAATATTATCTTAATACTGAGACTTCTACTAAATTTGACCTAAGAAAGTTGCAAATGTCTCTCTTTTTGGTTTGGTGTATAGCCGGGTGATTTGTTATCGAGAATTTACATTGCTTACGATTAAGCAACATTTATTGCCGCTTCTCATAGCCGGATGTTCGTGCCATGATTTAGAGCAGTGTTCAAGTGCTCACAGGCTTGCATTCTTCCTTTGAACGAGACCAGTTAACGATAAGGTTAACTTCAACCCTGAAAATAAATCCTGTCTGTTGCTTCCATTTGCACGCTTTCAACTCTTTCAACTAAAATAGATTCCCTGTTATTTTGTGGAGAAGTTTTACAACAAGACTGTGGATAAATACTGAACTTGAACTAAATAAGTTTATGACTGAAGTGGGACTCATGTTTAACACTTGGACTGGCAGAAGGTATATCTGATGCACTAGAACATACTGAGGAAGCAGTCATTTAAAATTAGCATGATGCTTAAGTGATACTTCAGTGAGGTTATGTAACGTGCAATTTCTGAAGCTAGAACACGATCTCAAAAGCGTTAGTAAGACAAATTATTTACCCCTCTGGGATCTAAAAGCAAAAGATCACTGGCCCAAATAGAAGTCAATGGAAACTCTGTGGCTTGTGGGTTTGTTTCTTGATTAAATTCCCCCTGAGTGTGTTTTTCCTTCCAATTATACTGAAACATGACCTATGCTTTGCAGATATTATCTTTCTCTCTTAAATATTTGAGTTATACTGAGTTACTAGTGCTGAATGACATGGCAAATTGTACTAGAAGTAAAACATACATAACCAACATTAATAAATGAGGTGCCATTAAAATACTCCAACACTCAAGAAAAGCCTGCCATGACATATTGCACACTGTGGGGTTTTCTTCCAGCTTGCTTTTCCCTCCATTTTTGAATTTCATCATGAAGAAACATCTCTAACTCTCTGAGACCTTGCACACTTGTAAGACCTTCTAGTGCAGAAGGTCTTTGAAATGGATAAATTTCATCATTTTATGTTTAACTAGAATCAAGATGTTTTGCTAGGGAATATGCATAAGGCTAAAGCTTCCTCCAATTCTATCGTTTCACCTCTGCTTCCCAGAAAATCTTCCCATATCAGACAGACAAACATACAGGTACCCTTTCCTTGGAAAAACACATTTAGAAACAATAATCAAGGAAATAAAATAGAACCTTACCCCATTCCAAAAGGTACTTGCTACTTTTTGTTACAGGATTCTTATGTACATTATTGAAATAGGTATAAAAAGAATAAGTTATATAAAACACGTTCTGAAACCAATAGCAGATTTGCAAATTTCCAGATTAAGCATTCTTTGGCAGTTACCTTGGACTCCACGGATTTTCGGGTCTGCTATGGGATTGGCACTTTTTTGTGCCACGTCAAACGCTGACAAAAATTGCAGCATCCTTTCTTGCTGATCAGCTACAGGCATCTCCAACGCCATCTGCCTCTGAGCTTGGTTTGGGAAAGGAAAGGAAAGAAGTGTTATGATCTTCTTAAATGGCCTGTGTAAAACAGCATCTAGGATTTGGCCGGACTTTGCATCTAACTGTCCTTCTTAGACATGTTTAACCTTTCTGCATGTTTTTGCCCTGAAAAAGGAAGCCTTGTAGTACAGTTCAGCTCAGTTATGGAGTTTGCTGCAAAGTACACACTGTTAATATGCAAAATAAAAAGGCCACCACTTATTAAAAGGAGGACAATTTCTTTGGCAAGCTAGCTCTTCAGACTCTTCTGTGGGACTGTGACAGTTATTCCACCTGAGAATATCTTGCCCTGTATCTTAGTTATCCCTACTACGATACAAAAAAATTCTCTTCATTTGTTTAAGTAACATCTGTGAACTCATCCCTCATACCAGCTTGCTTTACAGTTACAGTTACACCCGTCGTAGGACACTGGTATTCTGCTGACGTTCTCCGAAATGGCATTAAGATCCTGCACTGAAGCAGATCTTACCTGCTAGAAGTTGTGGTTTTTCAGGCAAGACTGGAGAAGCAGCTGCTAGAAAACCATTTGAAATAATTGCAGTGATAAGAATATTAGCCAGCACATTGGCTGCCATTGTGGTCAGACGGGATCTTCTGGGTGCCTAAGTCTGCACTGTGCACAAAAAGCTTTCTACAAAGCTTGTCAAAACTCCTTCATGCACATTTTCATCTGGCTGAATGAACCATCCCCTCTCCTGCCTTATAAATCCTTGGCCTTCCCCCATTACCCAGAGAACAAATTCCACATCCCATTCCACTTCAGAGACCTGCATTTTGACATTTGTTGATGTGCCTTTCTCTATTTTCTGAGGTTTGCTTTGTGTCACCCTAATAATAGAGTCACCAACGTCACAGCCCTTTTCTCTGCCTGAGCAAACACATTAACTTGGTATTATCACTGCTTGAACAGGAGAATCTCAGAGGTGTGTGCAAACTTTGGGACGGAGCGCTAACAGCAGTACAGGCGATTCTTCTCGATTTGCATCGTCAAGGGTCAGAAAAGAAACAGGGATACTACTTCAGAAGCCAAGATTTCAAACACCCCAGTGACGCCAGCTGTCAGCATAGCAAACAGTGAAGAACTGAATAAATAGCCATGCCTCCAAACTCAGCCATATGCTCCTGGGGACTCAATCAAAATGTGGGATAGGGGTGAAATCAGCCTGGACAAATCCGTCAGAAGTAGGGCTAAATCACTCAACTGCTGGCAGCCAAAGGTGAAGTGGGAGTGATATACCACTGTGGGTTCAAGCACTTGCCTCAGCTTGCAGGGAGTGACAGCCAAGAGCTTTCCTCTTCT